TTTATCCGGGTTTCGGATCTGCAGTAGCCCCCGGAGAGAGTCCAGGCGGAGTTGTGTAGTAGTAGGTTGCTGGTGATTTTATTGTTCAAGTGGATACACTAAGCGGAAAGGAAAGACACCAGGATGGATCTTATGCTATCTTGGTTCAAAGAACAGATAATGGCGACTGTCTGTTGCAGCTATGCTCAGATAACCGCCTGTTTATTACAAATACTAACTTTAGGCATAAGGTAAAACATATTTTGTCATGGAGACCCCGAATTCTTCCCAACGTTGGACCCCACTAGATCACATCGCTATCAGCCACCGTACTGATAGATGCTCGACAACTCATTCCACCTGGCTCTAAACATAACGAAGAGAGGAGTCATCTTAAGCACACGCTGATATGAAGCCTATGCAATAATCTCGAACAGTGGTGGGCAGCGAAGGCAAGAGAGATGGAAAAGGCAGCGGCGATAGGTAATAGCAGAAAACTGCTCAAACATGCCATGGAAATTGGTATCGGAATCCAACTGATAGCGAAAGAATTTCATAGAGAGATGGAAATACTATACATTCTCAATCCAGGAGATTGGATCGATGGGCAGAACACTTTAGGGATCAGTTCAACTGACCGTCAGCCACACTTCGGTTTCCCATAATCCTCAGTCAACCTGAAAAAGCCATGCGAAATCTGAAGCGAAGGAGTGTAGCAACCCCTGACAGGTTAACTCCTGAGATTTTTAAGGATGGTGGTTCAGTATTATCAGTGAGATTAACTGAGGTCTTAGGTAGGATTTGGGAACTGGACGCAATCCCATCTAACTGGTCTCAATCATTGGTTGTGCCAGTCTATAAGGAAGGACAAAAGTCCTCTTGTGACAATCACAGAGGAATCAGAATGACTAATATGGTGTCTAAAATATAAGCTTCAATAATACTTCGACGCCTAACCAAAGTTCGTGAAGAACAGACTAGAGAAAATCAGGCTGGTTTCCGACCTGGACATGTTTGTATAGATCAGATATTCACACTACTTCAGGTTCTAGAACACAGACACGCATTCAGACGCCCTACAATCGTAGTATTTCTCGATATTAAGGCAGCATTCGACTCTGTCGATCGTAAGGTTCTATGGAGGCGTTTGTCACTGAAAGAAGTACATTAACCTTATACAGGCTCTCTACTCAAACTCGACTGGTCGAGTGAGAGTTGATTACCTCAAGTGGTGTTCGTCATGGCTGTTCACTCTCTCCATTCTTGTTTAACTTTGTCGTTGACGTACTTTTAGAGATAACACTTTCCTAATCCAAATTTCCAGGGGTTGAACTTCTACCGGGAGATTCACTTGTTGACTTGGAATATGCCGATGACACAGTTCTATTTGGTGAAGACGCTGACAAAATGCAGAGTCTTCTGACCACTCCAAGCAACAATGCAAGCATGTTCGGGATGCGATTCTCCTCCTCAAAATGCAAAATGTTGCTTCAGGATTGGGTTGCATCGACACCCGATCTAATGATAAGGAGTGAAGTAGTTGAACGTGTCGACCGCTCCACTTATCTTGGAAGTCTCATCAGCCCTCGTGGTCTGGTGTTTGACGAAATCTCAGCACGGATACAGAAGGCTCGACTAACTTTTGCCAATTTGCATCATTTATGGCGTAGGCGAGATACCCTTCTATCAATCGAAGGACGGTTTGCTGCACAGCAGTTCGTTCCGTCCTATTTTATGGCAGTGAGCCATGGCCGGTAAGAGTAGAGGATATTCATAGGTTACTAGTATTTGATCATAGGTGTCTTCAAAAACATTGCTTGTATATCCTGGGACTATCGAGTAAGTAATGCAGTTGTTAGGAAACGAGTACTAGGTAAGGATGGCAACCAATTGATGAAATAGTGAGACTTCATCAGTTGAGATGGCTGGGACACGTGTTACGTTATTGACAAGTGGACTGAGTCATGTTGGTAAGTGTGGACTAGCTGGTTGGGATCCGCGAGACGATAACAACTGATGCTTACGGACCTTGAATGACATTGCTCGAAACCGTTTGCGATGGTGCAGGTGCATCTATTCTTTGTTCTCACAAATTCTAATCTTCTGAATTCTTCATGTCCCTTTTTACTTCTTTACAGATGTTTCACTGGATTATAATATTTGAATAACATCTTCAAATCCTAATCTTTTCGATTACTGCTTATACTTTTACTACCTCTACCACTACGGGATTTGAATCGACAACTGCATCTCTGTGCCAATGTAGTGTGGCAACTCGAACTGATGTACGTACGTACGGAGTTCTACGTTGTTACGGACTGACAGACGGAAATCCGTGAGATAAAGCGATAGAGCAACTGACGAATCCATTCCACTTGAAGATAAGCTTGTCTATGTTAGTCATTTTGCTAACTGTTGACGGGACTATGGAGCTCTAAACATCTCAGGGTAAGCACGAAATACAGTAGATGCTTTGGAAGGAGATGGACAACTGCACATCTGTGTTAATGTGGTGTGGCAACTCGAACTGATGTAAGCATGTACGAAGTTCTATGATGTTGGTGACTGACTTTTATGAACGGATTCTGTTTTGTCGAGTTTCACAAACCCATCGCATGAACGTGATTTAATGGGGACTGCGGTTACACGGTTCTTCGAATGAGTAGTAATATCGCACCGAAAGAAATGTGCGGATTTACTGTATATGTTAGCCTACTTGCATACTTATTAACATACTTGGTATGCAGGTTTACATAAACTGTGAGCAAATATACATTACATGCACACGAGTCCCCCATGCATCCTATAGCATACACATAGGCATATTTACCCACTTGTGAGGGTAGATGTTCACCATTCACGAAGAAAATGTATTTGGTACTCCAGACTGTCTCTTACACATATGCATTCGATTTACACCATGGCTATCACTCCAGTATTTCCTTACACACCTAAGCACAAGCACTCTATCATGGGAGATTATTGGTCGCCCCATTGCAGCATTTGTTACCACCTCTTATTATGTCTTCGACTTGATAGATACGCTACTGATTTTGTCAGATACAGGGCAGATATTTTGCAGCTCAACGTTTCATTTTTACGAAACCAAACGTCTATACGCTTGGATTGCGTAAGTCCGATGACTTCTGCAATTCCCACACCTGAGCACACACGACGGGTAGCTTGAGCGGCAAAGTGAGCCCCGAGTATACAACTCAGGATTGATCAGTTGCAACGGAGTGGGTGACCGGTACGATCTCTACGACCGCCCAAGTTGGCTAGCAGGGTTAGCCCCACTATCCAACAACGCCACGAGGCCTTATGTCGGATACGCTGCCAACCGATAAGTCAGTTGTTGATTAAGAAACATGCGCATGAGGGTGTTATGCATTGAATGTCGAAGACTCATAGAGCTATTGATTTTGGGGATTTACTTTCAGCTACAAACTGGTTTACAGAACGACGGTCTGAGTTCTAGGAGAATATGCACGTCCTTCATCGTCTCCATCGACTTAGATCCAAACTTTTAAACGAACAGGCTGAAAAACGTTCTTCATGCAGTTATACTGGTTTTTAACTCGACCATGACCAACTGATGTTTGTGTCCATTTGATCTTACGATTTTAGACACGTTTACAGACGTCGCAACTCATCATAGCAACTCCTAAATACTCGATACGAAGTATTCTCCAGAGTCCCTCAACCTAAAGAAAAATATTATATCACCGATAGAAATGGAACTAAAATTAACAGAACGGAATGGTCGAAAACAACATAACTGGGAGAAAATTCCTTCTATACCTCGATGGTATCCAGCAACCCGCCTAAAATACCGTACTCCAAATAAACCGTGAGGTTGCTAGAACATTTACGGGGCTGATGCAACTTGAAAATTTTGAAATCTTATTCTTTTTTTTTACCTCGTATGTCGTGTTTTACAGCTATTCGGTTGCATTTTGGGTTTTCGTTGTGCCGATAACGAAGAAGTCAAACTTTTAAGAAATATGTTTAAATATTCATGTTTTTCAAAAGTATTTAAAGAATTTTATGTATCTCTGTAAGTTATTTTTCCATAAAAAAGGTTTGAAAGCTTTTTGCACTGTGTGGCGTTGTACATGTATGCATATGTACCAAGATTTTTCCTATGTTTTGCTTGCCTACGTAAACACAAGTGTGCATCGACATGCAATAACACATTTACTTTATTTTTAAGGATGACTGGGATAGATGAAATACAGAAGAATAAGATGAAGCAAACTTATCCTTGTGCCTTTCTTATTATTTCATTACCTGTAGTACCGTAGGGTAGAAAAAGTCCACTAGAAGCCTCTAGACAGAAGAAGCTATCGGAAAATTGACTACTTCTGAAAAGCCCGTTATGTTTAAACTGCTGGCTGTTCATATCCTAGAGTGATGACATTACAATAAAGGGGAACTGAGTTTTAGCTGCTAATAGGTCCTCAAAATAAACAGTGCTTTAAGCCGTTGACGTTGATGCTGACCTCAATGGTCTTACTCGACACACCTTAGATGAAACAGTCATACATCCGCACCACAACACAATAAGGTATGCTGAGCTGCGCATCTCTTATAACTACTGGCCAGATTCGGCAAATTTCCAAATAAAGCTTCAAGCTCCTTCACCGATGAATTATGACTAGATTGTGTCGATTTCTCTCGGCCTAATAAGTGTAAAGGACGAAAGCTCAGTCAAAACCTGGATATCTGTTACATCATCGAACCTGTTATCTAAAGAACTGTCCGAACAGGCCCTCGATCTCTTGCACTTAATACAAAAATTCGAATATTATGTGATGTGTTAAAACAGTCAAGGTCGACGAAGTCTCCACAACGACTATAATATTACTGTCGGTTTTCAATAGTGTTTATTTTAGTTTTTTAAATACATTTGGCCCTCTGAGTTGGTTTCGTGGATCGTGGATTTCCGTCGAATTACTTACGTGTTGGTTTACTGACAAACGTCTTTATTTTTGTTTTGTCGTGTTAATATTTGCGCGACTGCCATACTGGGGTTCTGGCGGCTTGTAGTGCAATGCAGGTTGACTACAAACAGCTTGAGGTATGGCTCCACGGGAAGCTGAAACCCCTGTAAGTCTCCTCTCCACTAATAATCTTTCGTGTAATACAAAGCCGTACATTATACGCAACTGATTTTGATCTTAATGAACGTATTATTGGGGAGATACTATATAGCGCTATGTATGGCGTCATTTTAGGGAATGCCATAATACTCTCAGCTTCCTACCATTACTTCTGAGGGTCAAAGTTCACCTCACTAATTCCAGGTTGAACATCTGAGAGTATTGACTGGTCAGTTTTAAGGAGTAGTTTGGAAAATAAATCTCGAGGTCTTTTGCCAAAAATGGAGTGGATTAACTACTTATCGGTTTACTGCAACAAAATCCACGTAAGTAGCCATCTTTGGCTTTGTTGCAAAACGAGACATTGGGACACTCAAAATGGGTTCTCGAATGTCTGGTAAGTCTGTTTTGGAGTATTCATGACAGTACACGAGTCCTCTTAGTATCCCCAACAGTCAGTCTTTGATTAGTCGATGCGTCACCTATCTTACCGGTCGAATTTCGTTCTTTCTATCAGTCACAGCACTTTATGATTGCTGAATGCACAACTGATTTGATGCTGTTTTTACAACTTTGCAAAACTGGAAACTTGAAGTGGTGTATTTGTATTAGGTGCTATTTTGTTAACATATTTTCCTATCATGTTCTAGCCACCCGTAAACCACCCGCATAAAGTTTTGTCGGATTTTGTGTAATTTCTGCTTGGCACCTCGTATTTTATTCGTCAACTTCGATATTTTCCACGTTATTCTGCAATATGTTCCTGTACAAACTCGACAAAACGTTAAAACAACAACATGCATCTTCACTAATTTGTACAATTAAAGCTAAATGTATATATAGATGTGTGTTTTGTCTCCTTCATATCCCATGTTCACAGGTCATATTGTTACTATCTTTGGGGAAAATTAGTCGGATATAAACAGCCTTTTAACTGTTAGCACATTTCCCATATTTGTCCGTGTGGGATACAAATAGCATGTTGAAGGTCCCTGTATGTTGTGCCACAACGAGTGTCAAGGGCATAGTGTTAGACAGTTTATAAATCACAAAATGACTCATACTGAGTTAACCTTTATAGTTTGTTGTACAAGGATTGAACAGTGATATGAAACTAAAATTACTGGAAGCAGCAAAGTCACTGCAAACTTGTTTTGTAACACGTCCTTAGAAATGTAACAAACCGAGTTTTCTTGCATGTAGTCTATCAGTTAATAGTTGAACTGGGTTACTATCTAGGTGGGGGTGTATAGCCTTAACCCAGTCAATGATAAGCAACGACTAATGTGCATCAACCCAAGTTGTCACATCAAAACAGCTGAGATTGTCACTTTAGCGACCATCGCAGCAGAAGCAATTGTCCTATTGATGGTAGTGAAAAGGATAGTGCATAAAGAAATGAATTCGCGAAATAAAACATGTAAGACAATTTTAAGACTCAGAATCCGAAGAAAGAAATTGCACTTGCTCCATTGATGCCAATTCCAAGTCATGTTACTCAACATATCTACCCAGTCAGGTAATTTTTATTTATCTACACTTCCAACAGTCAGTAACTTCACGGACTAACGTTACTTCTTAGTTTCCGTGACTAGTTTTTTTCCAACCCACTCCTACGCTATTCGACATCGATATACATGGTTGTTATGCTTGGATAAAACATGTCACAACCCTCTCAGTCTGTGAACAGTTACAGCTATTCTTCAACTGCAAGGATACTGCCCTTGCTTTGTCAATTCATGCATTGAAACCTGCATCAGATCGTCCTTGTTTATTGTCAACTATGTTTGAGTACGCAAAGCCATACCAATTTCAAATCACCCATCTCTTTCCAAAGCATCTACTGTATTTCGTGCTTACCCTGAGATGTTTAGAGCTCCATAGTCCCGTCAACAGTTAGCAAAATGACTAACATAGACAAGCTTATCTTCAAGTGGAATGGATTCGTCAGTTGCTCTATCGCTTTATCTCACGGATTTCCGTCTGTCAGTCCGTAACAACGTAGAACTCCGTACGTACGTACATCAGTTCGAGTTGCCACACTACATTGGCACAGAGATGCAGTTGTCGATTCAAATCCCGTAGTGGTAGAGGTAGTAAAAGTATAAGCAGTAATCGAAAAGATTAGGATTTGAAGATGTTATTCAAATATTATAATCCAGTGAAACATCTGTAAAGAAGTAAAAAGGGACATGAAGAATTCAGAAGATTAGAATTTGTGAGAACAAAGAATAGATGCACCTGCACCATCGCAAACGGTTTCGAGCAATGTCATTCAAGGTCCCTAAGCATCAGTTGTTATCGTCTCGCGGATCCCAACCAGCTAGTCCACACTTACCAACATGACTCAGTCCACTTGTCAATAACGTAACACGTGTCCCAGCCATCTCAACTGATGAAGTCTCACTATTTCATCAATTGGTTGCCATCCTTACCTAGTACTCGTTTCCTAACAACTGCATTACTTACTCGATAGTCCCAGGATATACAAGCAATGTTTTTGAAGACACCTATGATCAAATACTAGTAACCTATGAATATCCTCTACTCTTACCGGCCATGGCTCACTGCCATAAAATAGGACGGAACGAATTGCTGTGCAGCAAACCGTCCTTCGATTGATAGAAGGGTATCTCGCCTACGCCATAAATGATGCAAATTGGCAAAAGTTAGTCGAGCCTTCTGTATCCGTGCTGAGATTTAGTCAAACACCAGACCACGAGGGCTGATGAGACTTCCAAGATAAGTGGAGCGGTCGACACGTTCAACTACTTCACTCCTTATCATTAGATCGGGTGTCGATGCAACCCAATCCTGAAGCAACATTTTGCATTTTGAGGAGGAGAATCGCATCCCGAACATGCTTGCATTGTTGCTTGGAGTGGTCAGAAGACTCTGCATTTTGTCAGCGTCTTCACCAAATAGAACTGTGTCATCGGCATATTCCAAGTCAACAAGTGAATCTCCCGGTAGAAGTTCAACCCCTGGAAATTTGGATTAGGAAAGTGTTATCTCTAAAAGTACGTCAACGACAAAGTTAAACAAGAATGGAGAGAGTGAACAGCCATGACGAACACCACTTGAGGTAATCAACTCTCACTCGACCAGTCGAGTTTGAGTAGAGAGCCTGTATAAGGTTAATGAACTTCTTCGGAATGAGTTGTCGAGCATCTATGAGTGCGCTACATGCTGCTGAGATCCACTGTTGCTCCCTCACCTTGTGGTTGACCGTACTACGGTGGGAAGGTCCCGACAAGTGCGGAGCTAACCCTGAAGCTACTCACAAAACGGTCGTTTGTGACTGGCTTCCAGCAGTTGTCCCTTGTGCACTGTTGTCATGCCCTCAGTTCATTAAGATCAACTGTAACCCAATTTCCTTTTCAGGTTCGTCTAGAAGAAACTTTACACGGTGTAGGCAACCCGGAATCGATAACCGCCCGCATAACTCTAACAGCACTCAAGATAATTGTATTCCCAATTAATCACCCTCTGCAATTCCTATTATTTCTCCTACCTCCATTTTTAACTACAAACTTCCGCTTTTGACTTCTTTCTCAAGTGTCACCACGACCAACGATTCTAGTGTGCAAAACACTGTCCTAGGTCTACTGAAATCTCGCTTTAAACCACACATTGGGGCCTTCAACGTATATACACTGCCAAATCGGTCAGTAGGCCTCTTTGACCAAAACCCTAAAATCCCGTACCATTGATGTATGCTTTCTCCGAAACACTCATACAAGGTCCTAGTGTGGTCATTCACTTGACCTCACCTCGCCAAAATGGAGAGCCGACGAGATTCACCCTCCATTTATCTGGCGACCTGAAGTCAAGTTCTCGTGGACTGGTGGGTGCGAGTATAGCACTAAGTACCAGGGCAGAACAAGCACTATTAGAATGGATCCCCGTTAACAGTCGCCTGTGCTGTTCGGTTGAGCCTTTGTTCATAACTGGTCGCCTCTGTTTACCATATTTTCTCAACAAGCTTCTCGTGCAGCTTTGTCTACTGATGATTCCAGGTCTTCCACTTATCAGCTTCGATGCCTCTATATATTCAGTTTGTGGCTGGGCTTCTGTTTTCGTCCAGCTATTATTGAATACTTTCTTGTTTTTCCGTTCTCGAATTTCGCTCAAGTTGTCCACAGAGGTCTATTGTGCTGGTGCTCTTTTGGACTCAATACCTCCAGCATGTTGAAGGTATCACTTATTTGATGTTTTACAGTTTCCCTCCTTAATAATTTTCTCTTCCTCTAGTAGATCCTGTAGGTTTTAAAAATTGCTGCTGCGGGTTGTTTTGAATTCGCCGAGCTTGTTAACATACAAAAACAAGGCTGTATTAAATCTTCACAATGCGGTTTGTCTAGTTGTTTGGTGCTAATTTCGGTATAACTTCATCTTGGCCACCACCAAGTGTTGATATAAGGTTATATTATCTTACTTTGTTCATACGTCCTGTATGAAACTTCTGAATTTTTTAAACACCCAGATGTGTTCGGTCTAGTTGTCCATAGTGTCATCTGGTGAGGTTCATGTTGTTTTGTGGATGTGTTTATTGGGTAAAGTATTGCAGTTCACGACCATGTTTGCGAAACCACACAGATCTACCGGTCTCTTGCTATTGTTGTTTCTTTTCTCTACAGTTCATACACCATAATCCCTTCATACCAAGTTTTGTCCATCTCAACTTCAACGTTTAGGTGATTCATCAGGTTAATTAAGTATTTCCTTGGTCATCTATTTACAGTAGACTCCAGGCTCATAAAACTGGTGTTCATTGTCTTCACTGCTATCACTTATGAATGGGGAACGCTGGATGTCATTTGCCGTAATCCTCGCCTTCTTGCTTCTAAAGTATGCGTCGATGATTTCGGAACCACAAGTTCCGCATCCCATAAGTGCTTTTCGTAATTCTTTAGACAGAATCATTGCAACTCTACAAGAGGGGGAACTTTGTTCTTCGTGACCAGATTAAAGTAAGAGCTCCTAAAGTTGGCTTATTTGGCACAGATTGTGTTCAATGAGTTTTACCTGTTCCAAGCACGGTCAGTCAGAATATTTTCATCTGTGTTGCTATTCGAGTGACCCTCCCTGTCATGTTCATTGTTCGAACATTCTACACACTGACATTAATTATTGCTCTGGTTTTTAGAAGGGGTTTTGGTCTGGTGGCTTCCAAATAATCTCAGTTTTCATCATGAAGTTTCATAAAGTTTTTATATGAAGACCCTTTAGCTCTCTGAACAAAGTTAAAATGGTGTAAATGTTTTGTTCTGGCTAGGGTTTTTGTAGCGCTTTATTTACAGCAGTGGTGTGACCATCCCTACATCCAGCTCTCCTTTATCTGGCTTTGGGACCAGCACTAACTCTGAAGGAGCTCCAGCAGGAGTCACATCCAACGTCTGTCGGCTGGTGACTCCACCCCCTTCTTCTGTGGTGTTAGGCACTTTTGAGGTGATGGCTAGATTTAACATTGTCTTGCCCAAAGCTCTGTGTTTTACATCCTGTCAGAAAATACTCCTTTCACATGTACCATGTTAGAACCATACAACTCATGGGCTATGATTGAGACATCAATACAGTATTGTATATCAATAAGGTAAGTGTTCGACCCCATGACAAAGCGGAACTCGATTCTAAGGTTGGTAGTGTTGCAGAAAATTCATCCATGTAAATTACGGTGCGGAACATTTCAAAAGCAATAAATCCGATGCTACTGGTAGATGAGCAGCATATCATGAGGTCCAAGCGAACACTCATCAGGATATCTGTCTACTTGAAATAATTAGGAAATGTAAATATGTAGTATTTAAAGGAAAATTACATTTGTTGGTAATGGGAACAGGTTGTAACCCTAATAGGCTTCAGTTAAAATCGTCCGTGCTGCTAGTAAGCAACAAAAGAAGTCACGGACTTTTTCACTTGTTCTTATCGTTTCAGACGCGTGAGTTGATAGACAATCATTACCCCATTCAATGTAAGTTTGTTGAAAGCAGTAGTACTGTTAACATAAACATATTATTTCAAATGGACAGAAACTTTCAGTACATCCCATTATAAAGTAATAGTGACATCGATAGGTCCACCACTACCGTCTTGCTGGCAGTTAAAAAAATTCAGAAGTTCTGTGTTTTTGATATTGAATCTAAACTAGCTAAATGCACTTTTTACATTGTCCATTCATAAGTCAATACTTGAAGTTAATTACTTGATACCATGCCTACTGAAATAACTATATCCGTATACTACTTTATTCAAACCAGGATTAATAACTATATAAACTTCAGCTCACATATTAGTTTCCGATAACTTGAATATTTCGGAAAATAAATAAAGCTGTACTACATCATTGAACAGAAGTAATTTTTATTTGGATCTATGGTGGATTAAGTAGAGATTTTTAAGTTTTTTCACTAGTTAACACATTTCTTCGATAATTTGTTTCTAAATATTTTTGCACTTTCGTTTTTAAAACTATTCCTGCAACTTGTGCACGTTGTAGGTGTGTTGCTGATCCAATTCCACTTTCTCAGTATGTAATAGCCCTGATAAAAAAGGACAAAGGCGAGCAGGAACTAAGAGAAATATGTATTGACCAGTTGGAAGTATTCTTGCAAGAAAATACAGCAAAGTTCGTGGAGGATTTATTTGCTGTACTTAAATCAAGAACATATATTACGTGTGAAACATTAAAACAAACTCAGTCTTCGGACAACTCTTACCCAAAGGATTCTTCTGGAAAAAACCCTTGTGGAAATACTTTTGATAATGTACCAAAAGACAGGAAAAGACATTTGACAAACAATAACACTAACGTTCCAAATGCCACGGACACTTGTGCTCCCAAGCAGAAACGAAAACGCTCACCGGAGAATAAAGCAAAAAGAATTTCGTCAGATAGTCGTTCACGCAGTCCCCATTCCCCAGGAAAACCAATAAATAATGCAAGTACAACTAGTAAGCAACATGGGAAAGAACTTGAAACACATGTAGATTCCTGCAGTCGTGGACGTCATAATAACCACTCAGAAGAACCCAGCTTAAAAACAGTGGATGGTCATATCAGACGCAATTCATCAGGTTTGTAGTTAACTTTTTTTGACTACGTCTATTAGCATCAACTGTTGTCAGTGCAACTATTCATTTATTTAGGCAGCGATTTATTTGAAGTTGTAAATTCTATTTTTGTTTTAGGTAGTTCAAATGAAGAAGTAACCCATTCAAATACAATTTCATCGCGTCGAAATAAGTATCATGATTCAGAATCACATAAGTATAATAGTCGTGAACGTATCCACTCACGGCACAAAGATGAGCATAGCAATCGTTCGTGTAAATCTTTTGCGAAGTCTGTCACCGATTACAGAGTAGTTGATGAAAAGTGTCGGGCTGTAAGGAACCGTCGCTGTCGTGATTTTGAAGAGCGTGGTTTTTGTGTATATGGAGACAGATGTCAGTATGACCACGGCCCGAATGCTTTGGTAATTTCGTCTGCTAAATCTGCTGTGTCCGCCATCGCTCATCTCACAAACCCTCTGTTAGATACTAATCCACTCTCAAATAGTACTGGGGATTTACCAATGAATATTGGAAAAGAGGCATCAAAATCTAGTACACTTCAGCCTCAATCTTTTGTAGCAGCTGTTTTATCTGGACCAACTGAACTTAACGATTTAAATCAACATATTGGTACTCCTCTTATTCCTGTTTATCACCCGACTCCAAGTACGTATGTTTATTGCTTACTGTGGTGTTTAACCAAAGACCTAAAACCTACCACTAGATTTTTTTCACTGAAGTAATAAAGTTTTGAAGCTACCAAATATTTATAAAAGTGGTTTACTTGTTAGTGAAATACCAGTATACCTAATCGAAGTGGCCAAAATGTGGTAAAAGTCATATTTCCAACTCCATATACAGAATGTATTCATGTCAAAATATCAACTTATTTCCACCAATCAGTTTAGAATTTTCCCAGAGGTTAAAGACTCTTGCATTAAAATAAACTAGTGCTTGCTTTTTGAATATGTATGATTATTGAGTTCAAATGAAGACAAACTAGTTTTTTATTATTCCAATCATACTGTTACGATACACAATCGTCCTGTTTGCAAGTTATTCAGTCTTTTGTAATCCACTTAACGTAAATTATTCAGTGAATCAGTGTAGTGAAGCTCTTCTCTATTTACATAAAACGAAGCAATTTAATAAGTGTATATTAACAGAAAGTAAATAGTTATAGGAAATTTTCTGATACAAATGTTAATTTTATGTAATTGAGATTTATTTTCAGTGTGGTCGCTTATTGATTGCCATGATTTGAATCTAAAAAGAGAATGGACTAGTTTTTAAAAATTCGGTTTATTGTCACATCACTCAGTGGTTGTAACATTGCACGCTCTTTAGTTTTTGTATTGTTTTACTTTAGATAGGTCGTGATGCATAATTTAAGATATCACGTAGCCTATTCATCTGAAATTAAAGGGCCTATGTTATCGTTGCGTACATGAGATAAGATGTACTGCTAACCATCATAGCAACAAGACGAACTAAATGTCTGTCGTCAGTATTGTGTTAAATAATGTTATAAGTCATAAAAGTTGATAATCCTCACTCATTTCAATGTAGTAGAAAGCTGACGTCATAACGATGTTATCCTGCGAAAAATATTGACTGAGATTTTTGGTACAAAAGTGGCATGAACTAATAAAATATACTAATAAACTATACCATAATGCACTCATTTTTTAAGTCCAGAGCTTCATTTTCCAATATTTTAAGGTCTCAGTCGTGTATCTTGGTTTTGCTGCACTGTTTCGGTTTGACATAATGTATCTTTAATTTTCAGTTATTTTCCTGCATCAAATGTACATCTGCGAAAGTCTAAACGTATCCCGAGTTTATCTTTGTCTGTTAACTTTTTGGATTGGAAAATGAATTTTATCTAGTCATGCTAGATACATATATTGATGTTAAAATTTTAATGTTGATTATTGTGCTAATTAAATTTTATGGAGTTGATAAGATTCTGTTAGTAGGAATAATAGTGCTATATGCGATTCTAAAGATTTATTTTGTGCGGATTATCGAAATACATTTCACGCAACCAATGGTTCAATAGTTATATCCAACTGCTGCGTAAATATTTAGCAAAAATAACAAAATCATTTTAGATGTACATGTACCAAATTTTGTGTGAAAATTTCACATCAGTGAACATAAAGCATTAGCATAACAAATGACTTGCAAGCATCTTGGCTACATTATTATTTCGAAAAGTATCATAAATATCGAGTTTTGTAACACTTAGAATTTAGCATCAGTATGCTATTTAAGCGGTACGTTCAAATTATTTGTTAGTTAATTAGTCTATTACAGCCTAATTATTGTCGAAAAAATGCAATATCCTGTGGGTCGTTGTAGCTACCAATGAGTGTTGTCAGAATAGCTCTAAGTGTGACTATATAATTGAGACAATAATAATAAAATCCTTGAAATGACATATTGATTTCATTTCAGTTTCAAGGCTAATGATTTTGAAATTAAATAAAGTATATCGGTTTCTTCTACATATGTTTCCTTGTTAGCTGTGATTAATTATTATCTTACTCTGTTCTAAGAGGTAAACTTCGGAAGTCATTGACCTTAGCTTTATGTCGGTAGTGTGGGTGTCTGTCGCTCATTGTACCTATATTGTAGTATATGTAAACGAGAAAGCACCAGTTTTAACAAGATATATGTAATAACCTTGCTGAAAAACTACATATGAATAATATTTACGTTCATATATACACATTATAACATTACAGTTCATAATTTTTAACAACAGTTTCTCTGTATTGTTGTTTATAGATTCATATTATGGATAATAATAGACCCCCATTGATTGCTTTATAATCTTGATTAATTAATCATTACCTGAAAAGTAGCTCATGTTCATACTATATTGGTTGGATATTTTATGTTAACGACAGCTTGAACTCCTTGATAGATGTCCTGTCAGTTGACCACTGGTTCTGGAATTTTTTCGACTGGAACTTAATGATCGTATACGTGGGCAAATTATTTATTCGACCACGTCAATAATTCCAGCGTTTTAACAGTCGGTTGTGCCGTCGTAACAGAGACCTGTTTATTTTGATCTATCAGAAAAGATCAAGAACGTTATCAGGCAAACCTTTCGTTCTACCGTATCAGTGGTTAAGAAGATATGAAAGATAGAACACTTTTGCCCAATGAGGAGTTGTACCACTATCGTTTTTGGCTTTACCGATGAAACCAATGATTGCCAAGATTGGATCGGTTAGAAATGTTTCCATGTCAACATTTTTTCGGTATATGATTCCAGTTAACTAATAACTGTAAATCTTGTGCCTAGTTTTACCTTTCACATATTTGGCTCGGGGAAGTTCATCGTTATCCGTTTTTTGTCCTCATTAATTTGTCTTTTCTATTTAGTTAATCATCCAGATAATCAAATGTTAATGACCTGTTGCATTGATCAGTCATCGGATACTGGATTACTTCCTCAGGTTCCTAACCCTTCTGTTTTGTATAGTAAATCCAATTGGAAGCATCCCCGTTTTCAGAATAACATGCAACAACGTTCTAATAATTTTCGCGTATTTAACAATGTCAACACTATTAGTCGAAATATAGTTCCTTTGCCAATGATTCAAAATACTAACAATAAAGATCAAACCGAAATTAATCCAGCTCCACCTGCTTATGAACCAGATCGACCACATTTGTCCATGATTTCGACGTCCGAGTCTAATATTCTACAGTCTTGCGATACTTCAGATGTAGAACATAATGCCTCTACCCCACCATTATCATATAAACCCAGTCCTATCACTGAACAAATCAGTTCATATGCTGTAGTCCCAAAAACATCAGGAGTCACAGACCTTTCTTTGGATATCACTTCTCGAACTGTTGATCCTCGTACTACTCTGTATATCGATCGTCTTCCTTGGAAACTTAATGATGCGGATAAAATTCGTGAGCATTTTGCTCAATTTGGTCATGTAATAAACGTCATTGCTAGATACAAGGGCATGGTAGGGTCCGCAGTGGTTGAGTTTTCTTCATCAGATGAAGCTGAGAAAGCCTATCGAAGCCCCATTCCTATGTTTTCAAATAGATTTATTCGAATTTACACTCGTTTTCCAGAAAACTTCAAACACAATGCTCGAAGTATGACTAGTCGTTTCCCTCGTCCCAAGGTTAGATTTTATAGTGTATTAAATTAACTGTAAAATTTTAAAAGTAGGATGTGTAATTTTTGAAATATTGTGCATGTTTTAGCAGCGGTGATACAGGCTTTCATGCAGTTTGCGACTACTTTTACAAAATTTTCATTTTTACTAATCTTTTTGGATTTTTTGCTTACAAACCCGAATTTTGTGCAAGGTCAGTCAAGTTGGAGATTTATTCCACTTGATAGATTCCTTGCAGTGGATATTCATTGCGACTTATATGCGTATAATCATTGACTCATAAACTGATGGGTTTGATGCTTTTCGTATGTGCATATTAATATTGTCGTATTTTAGATTCAAGCCTGATAAAAGTCTAATTGAAAACAAAATTCTTCGATTATATGTGTTGTTTTAACTGTTATATTGTCGTGGGCAAGTATACTGCTTGACAGTCTCCTTTCTATCATTTTATTGGTGTACAGCATGATTACTAAGAATATGGGTATATGCATAGTTTGTGGTTATTCGACTATTTATGTATTTGAAGCATGGCTCACGAATCTTTTTTCATTTATTTTTTTTACCTAAATGATCACATATAAGTTCATGTGTTCGACTTCAAGACACGCTTGCAACAATTCTAACTAGCTTGTCAATACGAAGATTAACTGGATTTTAAACCTGCGAATCAGTTGTTAAAGCTAGTTACCTTAACCGTTAAACTATTTCAGATATTTTAATCACTAAAATAATACACAAACGGTTACTTAAGTTGTAAACCTTCATTTAGTAAACTAGTTAGAACAGTTGTATTGCACACTGAGTCAGTGCCATCTGGTGCTCACATAAATCTAATATTTATTCTTATTTGCTGAGTTATAGCGTTATTTCGCTATCTATAGTCATTTTCGTCTGTATCATCCTTGACATTTCCTGTCCTAGGAGGTAGTCAAAGTGCTATTTAGGTTATTTGTGATTCATTGTTACCGAATTTTAGTGCATAATGGATTCATATAATTCCTTGGTGATGCCGAGTTTCGACTCGGAGTACTAGGTAAGCGTAGCAAATCATGTGACTAGGTAGTGATTCTTTATCGACTGAGAGAGTTGGAACGTGTATTACATATACACAACATTCACTGACTACCTCAATCGGCGCTGATGGCTGATGTTGGAATAAGTTGAAAGAATGGTAGAGGTGGTCAAACCTATGGACTAACATTAGTCCATAAAGACATTGTTAGACTGACTTATTTAGGCAAATGCAAACTACTTGATTAGAGTCTGCTTGATCATCGTAACCACTGATTAGGGATTGTGAGTAACTGCTCAAAATCGTTTATGGTTGTGCAATTACATTCACTCTTTGTATCTCTTTAGATCCTAAGTTTATAAATTCCGGATACACATTCCAAAATCATTATTTCACTAATTTATATTTCGTTTTCGAATCGCACTTGGATCCTTAAACTTTTATACTATCGTTAATGCTGTTACTACCTCTGCAACTCTGGGATTTGCCCAGACAGTTTCATGACTCTGTCCTAATAGAATTGGGAAATTTGGACCAATGTACACATGTGCCAAATTCTGTGTCTCATTTGATTAACCGACTGTGTAGGTAGTTTAACTTATAAAACAATGTTTAGAAGTGAATTCTTCAGAAGACAATTGTTAAAATTATCGAATAAGTTTAAATAATTAGAAATGTGTTTATTATTCAGAATCCTAAAAGATACATGTAACTTTCATGAACCTAATTATTTTGATCTCTTTTTATGGATGTTATAATTCTCTCTTACGGTTATAACCCAGCTATTCCTATTGCTTAGTATTCTCGGACACCGATTCACTCTACAAGTCCCCAAATCAGAACACGGTTGGACAGGAAAGAGATTATATTCCAAATAACAAGGTTAGATGGAAGTAAGAAGCACAATAGGGAAAACCTTAGTATATTTATAGTTTTTCACATGAGATTTCTAGTGTTCACTAAGTGTTGACTAACGCTGCTTAGCTCATTCTTATCCAATCAGCATGCACCAAAGCAATCGTGGATTCAGCATGATTTAATCCAGTCTGTGTCTCGCTAACAATGGAATATGATTTACTAATGTAACTTCACTCACTATAGAGTTATGGTTCAATGATTGATCCATCCTACTCAGTTGCAGTTTAAAACCTCGCTCCATATACTCCGGCTTAAGCATCTGGTTGGTATCACTGGCCCAAAGCCATGTGCACCAATCTGTACCTAGTAAATGAATCGGATAACTCCATTTACTGGTCAGATAATATTGCTTCAACATTCATTATATTATCTGTTTATCATTTTGATGTAATTTAATATATTTTATTGATAAATTTCAGATTAGCCCATTGATTAATCATTTATTTACCGTGTTTTAACAAAAAGCTAATTTGTAGTTGAAGCGTTTACAATAAATGCTTTTCAATGATTTTTTTATTTTTAAACCTTTGTTACAGAGTATACTGGATCGTTTAGGAACACGACCTGTTCCTGGAAATAACAAGATTAATTCATATTCATGGATGAGTACGACTAATGACTGTATAGAAAATCAACACGTTCCTGGCAGCATTCTTCCTGATGATACCACCCAAAGGGGTAATAGATCTCGTTGGCGTTTAGAACGTAATCCAACCAGTGGAGATGCCTTATTATCTGGTGATGAAGAAGACGATTTAATCGACGAAAATCCGACCATAGATAGTCATGAACGAAATTCTGCCACTTTCATCAAAGAACGTAGTAAAGCTTCTAATCAAAGAATTGATAAAGTAGTAGATAATTATGTTGATCTTAATGCCGATCAAGAGTCATTATTATTTACTCATAATCCTGTGAGTGTAAGATGATTATTTTTTAAAATACTCCATTAGATCGTCAGTAGATTTGTTGCTTCTAAGTAAATGATTGCAAATTTTAATTAGATTGGTTTTGTAGAAATGATTGTCCATTTTTTTATTCGAACATCATTGATCGTTCCGCTCATTCGAGGCTATCTTAGCCTAATCTCGTTTAACAAAACGTATGACGCATGCCTAATATTTGTGATTGGCTAAGCAGGTTGTGAAATATTATTTATAAGCAAATATACCGGAAATGTGCTCTGGTTAACTTATAGAAATCTGTTCTGTAAATTTACGAAACACGATCACTTAGATTCATTTTTTATTATCTTATGCCACCATTCATCTTTCCTAACGACATAAATAATTAAATTCTTAGTTGAATTCGTTGATTTATTGTACAAGTCTAGGTATATCAGTATTAATTGTGACACATTGTATAGATAAGCAGTTTCTAAAACCCTTACCACTTCTTAACTAAATTATAAAACTTAAGCTTCAGTTTTTCAGTGAAATCTTTTTAATAACATCTAGTTACTGCTTTAATTGGAAAACCTAATTTTATGATGACTTTCCATAAATATCTTATCTTAACTAATGGTTTATGACTCAATTAGGAAGCTGTAGCTATGAAAAGTATCGCTAAATCTGTCCACGTCTCTCGTCATTTTGTAGACATCGAGTTTTATCAATTTTATTAAATGTTATTTTCTTCACCTCTAGTTTTATATAAGTGTTTGCGATTATTAACTAAAGATATTATAATTTACCAATATGAATACTCAACTACACACCACACCTGGTTTGGTTTATGATTTCAGCTAGCATATTTTGTGCCCGCTCATTTTGGTCGATCAATCCTTCCTCCTATTTTTAGGCAGCTAACGATTGGCATCCTGTTAAGTAAAACGCATAACAGCAGTACAGTTAGTTGGGTTTTAGGCAACTTGTTTTGTAATAGATGCATACTGTAACAGCTCAGTTTGACCATTTTATTTATTATCAAGCATTTTAAGGGTCATCTATTAGTATCATGCACCTTTTACTGCTTAATTTTTTCAAGCAGTATGACAGTTTTAAAGAGTATTTGGTCACTTTAGAAGATCCGAAAACGAAAACATGACTTTTACTCTTAAACACTAAATTGTTTTCGTTTTTTCAGGAAACTATCACTTTGGTATTATTTTGTTTTCATGTTCTAAAGAACTTGTACATTGTAGTGTAGATCACGACATCGATTAATTCTGCTGCATTCCTGTTATATTTTCATTCCAAATTTGGTATTGTGCTTGTTACCTTGATTTTGTTATCATAACTGTGCTTCGTGGCGTAGTGTATTGTTAATCTTCTATTTAATATCCAAATTACTAGTCTTATTTAAGTTTTACGGTAAGTGTTCACCTGAAAAAAGCTTGAGTTATCGCTTGCTAATTATTATCCGTGACTCGTATACTAATTAGTAAGTAGAGATTCCCCATTTGTTCCACTTTTAAATGTCTTGTGTCATAAGTAAAACAATGTTGACGTGCTAATGATTATAGTTGTTTCTGTTAAAAGCTCATTGAAAAAGGTCATTACAACAATTCGGTAGGATGAATGTTTGTTATAACTGTGTGCTGCAGATTAGAGCGAAGCGTATTATCAATCGGACCAAAGACGCGAAAACACGCAAGGACGGCCTAGAGTTCTGATTGGTCTCGCTTCCCTGCCTAGCCCAGCCAGTTGAGTCCAGAACACAAGTCTCAGCCTCTGAGATATGAATCATGTATTTCAAACATACTCTGTTTATATACCAATCAAGCAGATCACACCGCACCATAAAACAGAAAATAACATTTAACACGCGAAATAAGTATTGACCAGTAGGAAAATGATACCATCTCAAGTTCAAGAATAGCATTAAACTCAATAGAATAATTTTTGGGATATTTTCATGAATATCCCAACAACGTTCATGAGTTTTTTGTGTATAGGCGACTCGATAACGTAATACACACTTTTTTGTGCATATAAGGATGTATTGAAATTTGTGTTTACTAGTGTCAAATCATAAACACATAATGATCAGATCGTTTGTTCAGTTTTTGTTGTATCTTTTCAAAGGCAATGGACTTTATTCATCGAGACCTCGTTTTGTGTTCTTTCAGGATACAGCAAGGCAATTCAATAATAGTAATAATATAACTGTTACGTCAAGTCCTTATACTTTGTCACATAAACAAGAGGCTGAGGCAATTCTTTGGGAGCGTCGTAAAATGGCTGCATTGAGACAACGTAAAGAACAACTTATGCTTTTAGATAAGGTACTTTTCTTACGTCAAGCTAAAATAGAATTTAATCATATATTTATATCTGATTATATTTCATTTTAATAATTCAATTTCAGTGTGATTTGTTTCTATGTGATATGTTACGTATGCCCAACGACCGACTGCCTCGACGTGCGATGTTCAGTGGTATAGGAGTAGGTTGGAAGAAAGCTAGGGGCGGCCAGACCAAAACATGGCACAAGTCCATGAAGTCACTGGCAAGTGGACTGAGTCATGTTGATAGGTGTAGACTACCTGGTTGGGGACCGCGAGATGATAGCAACCGATGGTTAGAGACGTTGAATGATATGGCTGAAAATCGTTTGCAATGGCGCAAGTGCATCCACTCTTTGTGTTCTCCCAAATTCTAATCTGAATTCTTCATGTCCCTTTTTCCCTCTTTCCAAATTTATTTCACTGAATTATACTCTTTAAATAACATCTCCAAACCCTAATCTTCCCGATCATTGCTTACACTCTTGCTACCTCTACCACAATGGGATTTGAATCGACAACTGCATCTCTGTGTTAAGGTGGTGTGGCAACTCGAACTGATGTACGTACGTACGAAGTTCTACGTTGTTATTGACTGACTGACTATGTGATATACCTGTTTATTTGATAAAAGTCAACTATTTACTTGAATGTAAAGTTTATTTCGTCAAATATCCCGCTTGTGGGATCGTGGATGCTCACTGTTGATGTGTCCAATCGTGGGTCGACGAAACGACTGTCCAATACTTCCAGGTTTTGTTGGTGTTCTAGCTTAGATCGACTCGTGATTCCAACTGAAAATATCCTTTTATCACTTAATTTCATTCTAAAATGTCCATGTTTTATTTCTCTAGTCTCGTGAAGCCCGAGAATCAGTGATTGAGGCTCGAAAACAACGAATTAATAAACTGAAGTTGCTTCTTGAAAGAGTGATGAGTCAGTTGGAAAATAATCGTACTAGCGAAACAGACAATTGTACAGATTCGAAACCACTGACATTGGATGAAAGACGTAAATTACTTACTGAAGCCAAACGGCTACAAACTGAACTTGAATCGACTTTGGAAGCTGAGAAGAAAGATTTGGATATCCGAAGTTTAAACCGAGAATCAAACAGCAAAAAAATGTTCATTTCAAAACCATTAGGAAGCACAACAATTAGTGCGGCCGCATTACAAGCTTTACCGAGTCCAATTCGATTAGAAAGACAAAAACAAATTTCTGAAGTATGTTTACATAATTTAAATTCGTTCATGCAGTTGTTTTTTTAAATAATTCCAATGATAATGATAAACTTTGTCCATTTTTATAAATTACTTTTCTTACCAACTTAACAAATAATTAACAATTGCGATTACCATAAAAAGTCATCAATGTACGTCTGAGTATTTCCTTAGTGTTTTAGTTATTATTTATCATATATTAATTCATCGCTGCTTATATTTTACATATTAGATTCAAATCGAAATCGATAAATTGGAAGCAAACCTACGTGATGCAAATCAAGATGAGGTTAAATTAAAAGAAGGTCGTCGAAGGATCGTAGAACTTAAACGCCAGGTAGGGTCTCTTTGCCTCATTTGTAAAATCGATGGACTCGTTGATTCCCCTTTACTTATAGACTAGTATTTCTTCGTATTCTTCTTGGTTTCTAGATTTACACATATCGGTTTTCGTTTAGGTTAATTTCAGTGTATAATGAATTGTACCAGTTGTAGACTATAGCTCACATTTTAAATCAGTTGTTAATAGAAATAGTTACATATACCCAATGATAAACTTGAATATACTATTAACTTATATTTCCGTAAACAGATTTATCTCTCTTCCCAAAATAGAACCTAGTTTAACATTGTGTCACTTCCGAAGACCATTCGACTGAGTCCCTTAAATAGTTTCTTAGTGTTTTTTAGAACCGTATATAGATCACTGTACAGTCACACAAACATTATTACATTCGTAGCTTAATCGTAGGCTATAATTCCGCACATACTAATAAGTTCACTGACTTTGTGGATTCCATCCCATCTTGTGCAGATAGACTTCAAAATCATACGATCTTATTAACGGAAGGTTAACCTGACTCCTTCATTCAACCGTATTTATTGATATAAATTTTAGTTGAATATGAGTACACAAAGTACATATCTTTTTATTGATCACAGTAATTATCAGGTCCTACGCTACCCAACCAACAAGCTGAAGAACGTTCTTGCCATAATCGCTAACACTATAATCAGTTTATTTTTTAGTACCAAACAATATGGTTGTTTGTCCATATGAATTGATGTTTGAATTTTGTTAGCTAAATGTAATTCTATAGTTACACTAATTTCTTCGTTTTCACCTGGTATTTTCAAACGGCTTTTTGTTTATTAGCTTGTCGACTTGGAGACAGTCCGACCATCAGATATGTTTTTGTCTCAAAACACAAGCGGTTGTGCTCCCGGCGACAATTCCACGTACCCAAACAGAACTCAAACCAAACTTGATAAGCGACCTCGAACGTTGTATATTACTGGCATCGAACCAGATGATGTAGAAAACTTTCAAAATGCCCTCTCAGTATGTATTTTGCTCTTAAAAAATCTGTTTTCATACCAAAAACAGTTTTTAATAGCATATATTATTATTACTATGCTAATATAATCACCTGTCTGGAATGCGTCATACTCTACTGTTGAATAAAACAAATATTAAATAGAACTACTATGATGTCGAAATTTCCCGTATTCATGCACTGTAAGATCAATGTAACTTGCTTGCATATCACTTCTCGGATGACATCTCTATTCACACAGATGTAATAACTATATATTTATGTTCGAATATAAATTAGTCAGCAGTCTCTGAACCTAGTATTCCTTCATCGCATTTATGGCCTTGATGTAATATTTGTGTCATCAGTTTTTCTTTGTTCGCATTTACAGCTCATGGTGTTGGTCTGTAAGTAGTTATTTAAGCTGGAAGTTATCGAGTTCATGATTCAAGAAGTGAGTTTGTGGCGCTTTTCTTCTTCTACTATTCACTATCTGCCTCTCAACACGTTAGTATTCTCGCTAGAGTATTTTTGACAAATATATAACAACTAATATAAACCAGAATGCTTTATTACTATTTATGTATAAACAGTTACGCATATACCAGTGCACATGTTCAAAAATGTGGAAATTGTGTGTTACTCTTGAAATTCCCAACGACATTCCAATTGATTCCACCAACGCAGGTACCTAGTTTCAAAGTGTGGCACATGTTACACGTAGACTGTCCTAAAAAATCAGTTGACTAAATTCAAGAACTGTAGTGCTATCAAAACTTTATTTTCACTTTTTGAATTTTTAAATTCCGATCGGTTTTGACTTTTCCCGAATTTCTCATTATACTTCAAGCTAAATTACCTACATACACAATCTTGTACAAAACAAACTAACCCTGAAACTAATCAGTTAGTACTGGAAGTTACGTTTTGCACTCGTGATTTCGCCGAGGCAGCTATTCGTCTGTTTACCCAGTTTCATGGACGTGACTTACAAATGAGTTTTGTGTATCCAGCACTGTCCGAAACCAAATCTGGAAATTTTACTGATAATGATGTAAAAAATGTAAGTTCGGTTTTAGATTGTACTTTCTTCATTTATAATCATTTAATCACAAATTGTGTAGATTCTTCAAAAATGTTTTTGCTTATTTGTGTATTTTGACTTGCCCTTATCTCGATTCTGCGTCATTTAATTCATAACAGTTTAACGTATATCTCTATTATTTTTAACAACTATTAGGAAGACGATTTGGGAGGTTCCATCTAGAAAGTTAAGTAGGTAATATTTTGTCACGTTTAGTATTTCGTGACGTTTGTCATTCCATTATCATTATAATGGTCATTTAATCTATATATCCCATATTATTATGAAAAATGCTTGTAGAGTATGGAATTTCAGTTATTTCTTAGTTGTGTGTAAATCAAACCATTTTCTTCAGTCAAATTCCGTTTATATCTTTTTATTTTTACAACTTCAAAGGTGATTTCGTTGTTTATCCTCGATAATTAAATATATTTTAAAATAAGTGTCCTTCAGAGTGTTTTGTAATAGGGTCTTAAGGTTGTCATAGTATTTTTCGTGGTATGGTGTGTTTTAATTTGAACATTTCATTTAACAAATCGACCGATTCGCACTACTAACCTATGTTCCTCATTATTAGGTTTCGTCCATACAAACTGAAACTTCTGATCAATTACAAGCTATCACATCTTCAGAGTCTTTGGATTATTCTGCTCATTCCAGCCCTACATCTACTACTGCTCTGAATACCATGTCCTTATGATTGATATCCAGTTCCCTATCAGAATATCGCTAGTGATTTGTGTAGAAAGAAATAACGTTCCTCATGCGATATCTTCCGTCAATAACGTTTTCCTTGAGAAAAATATATTTTATTTAAAGCTTTTCTACTTCAAAAGTTTTTTCACTGTTTGGCTATGTACACACTGTTTCTTAGTAATGAGTTGAGTATCAACTGACCTTGATTTTTATGAAAGTGATATAGTAGATTCTATCAATAAACCCCACTATTCTCCTTTTGCATTTTATCTTAAAGATACTTCGGTACTATATAGAGAGAAGCGAAATTCGTAATAAGAGGTGGTAACAAATGCTGCAATCGGGCGACCAATAATCTCCCATGATAGAGTGCTTGTGCTTAGATGTGTAAGGAAATACTGGAGTGATAGCCATGGTGTAAATCGAATGCATATGTGTAAGAGACAGTCTGGAGTACCAAATACATTTTCTTCGTGAATGGTGAACATCTACCCTCACAAGTGGGTAAATATGCCTATGTGTATGCTATAGGATGCATGGGGGGGACTCGTGTGCATGTAATGTATATTTGCTCGCAGTTTATGTAAACCTGCATACCAAGTATGTTAATAAGTATGCAAGTAGGCTAACATATACAGTAAATCCGCACATTTCTTTCGGTGCGATATTACTACTCATTCGAAGAACCGTGTAACCGTAGTCCCCATTAAATCACGTTCATGCGATGGGTTTGTGAAACTCGACAAAACAGAATCCGTTCATAAAAGTCAGTCACCAACATCATAGAACTTCGTACATGCTCACATCAGTTCGAGTTGCCACACCACATTAACATAGATGTGCAGTTGTCCATCTCCTTCCAAAGCATCTACTGTATTTCGTGCTTACCCTGAGATGTTTAGAGCTCCATAGTCCCGTCAACAGTTAGCAAAATGACTAACATAGACAAGCTTATCTTCAAGTGGAATGGATTCGTCAGTTGCTCTATCGCTTTATCTCACGGATTTCCGTCTGTCAGTCCGTAACAACGTAGAACTCCGTACGTACGTACATCAGTTCGAGTTGCCACACTACATTGGCACAGAGATGCAGTTGTCGATTCAAATCCCGTAGTGGTAGAGGTAGTAAAAGTATAAGCAGTAATCGAAAAGATTAGGATTCGAAGATGTTATTCAAATATTATAATCCAGTGAAACATCTGTAAAGAAGTAAAAAGGGACATGAAGAATTCAGAAGATTAGAATTTGTGAGAACAAAGAATAGATGCACCTGCACCATCGCAAACGGTTTTGAGCCATGTCATTCAAGGTCCGTAAGCATCAGTTGTTATCGTCTCGCGGATCCCAACCAGCTAGTCCACACTTACCAACATGACTCAGTCCACTTGTCAATAACGTAACACGTGTCCTAGCCATCTCAACTGATGAAGTCTCACTATTTCATCAATTGGTTGCCATCCTTACCTAGTACTCGTTTCCTAACAACTGCATTACTTACTCGATAGTCCCAGGATATACGAGCAATGTTTTTGAAGACACCTATGATCAAATACTAGTAACCTATGAATATCCTCTACTCTTACCGGCCATGGCTCACTGCCATAAAATAGGACGGAACGAACTGCTGTGCAGCAAACCGTCCTTCGATTGATAGAAGGGTATCTCGCCTACGCCATAAATGACGCAAATTGGCAAAAGTTAGTCGAGCCTTCTGTATCCGTGCTGAGATTTCGTCAAACACCAGACCACGAGGGCTGATGAGACTTCCAAGATAAGTGGAGCGGTCGACACGCTCAACTACTTCACTCCTTATCATTAGATCGGGTGTCGATGCAACCCAATCCTGAAGCAACATTTTGCATTTTGAGGAGGAGAATCGCATCCCGAACATGCTTGCATTGTTGCTTGGAGTGGTCAGAAGACTCTGCATTTTGTCAGCGTCTTCACCAAATAGAACTGTGTCATCGGCATATTCCAAGTCAACAAGTGAATCTCCCGGTAGAAGTTCAACCCCTGGAAATTTGGATTAGGAAAGTGTTATCTCTAAAAGTACGTCAACGACAAAGTTAAACAAGAATGGAGAGAGTGAACAGCCCTGACGAACACCACTTGAGGTAATCAACTCTCACTCGACCAGTCGAGTTTGAGTAGAGAGCCTGTATAAGGTTAATGTACTTCTTTCAGTGACAAACGCCTCCATTGAACCTTACGATCGACAGAGTGGAATGCTGCCTTAATATCGGAAAATACTACGATTGTGGGGCGTCTGTGTTCTAGAACCTGACGTAGTGTGAATATCTGATCTATACAAACACGTCCAGGTCGGAAACCAGCCTGATTTTCTCTAGTCTGTTCTTCACGAACTTTGGTTAGGCGTCGAAGTATTATTGAAGCTTATATTTTAGACACCATATTAGTCATTCTGATTCCTCTGTGATTGTCACAAGAGGACTTTTGTCCTTTCTTATAGACTGCCACAATCAGTGATTGAGACCAGTCAGATTGGTGTACGTTGAATTTGTAATAGACCACTAGGTCCCAGTAGCCTACATCAACTGTTTGGGGTTGGAACTGTGTACGAGCTGGTAGAAATGTCATAAATCTTAAATGGTAGTATGCACGGAAACTGATGTTTAGGAATTGTTTGTGTCTGATAAATTTATTGCTGTAATAAGTTCTTCAAATATAGTTGGGGTGGCCAGTCTTCTGAAATTAAAGGCATTCACAAACTATGTCAAACTGAGAAATACTCGAAAACATTAACAACTAAGGTGATTCCACTTACTTGAGTATATGAAACGAATATTTCTAGAAAATGGGAAGCATTTGCATTACTGAGTAATATTAGTACAGACCAGGTAATTGTAGACCTCTTGGTGTCATATTCTAATATTGTGGCGGTAAATAAATTCCCATAAGTAAATAGTTTTTTTAAGTTTTGTACATTGATACTGGACTCACCCTAGCTGAATGCGCTTGGCCATACAGCCGCCCTAGATTGCTACTGAGTGCGCCGTGCTACGCATCCCTCGCAAAAACTAACTAGTCTAAATCAAATGTTCAGCATATCTATAAATTCCCAAATATAACCTCGGTCTCTCTCTAGTATGATTAGGTTGACACTTCGATTTTATAGGTTTTTGCAGATAATAGCAATGTCAGATCCTAAGTATTTATAACACCTTTGATCCGTGTTGTTATGAGCTACTGCTTACTTTAAATGATTTGTATCCTCAGTGGGACTATATGGAAGTTTTAATTTTGGCTGTCTGATTGATCAGCTGACTAACGAGTGGCCAGCATCTTTGTTCATAACTTTTGAATACTGATTATCTCGAAACTTTGATGAATGTACAAGAGATCAAGGAAATCATCACCATATTAGTTTGATTTTGCAAGGGCAGGAGGTTAGGTTTTCTGTGTTAGTCCTTGCAGTGGTGATCTCATAGCTGTTTTAACGTTTATATAAAAGTGTCAAAAGATGAAGGTTAAGTCGAGTGTTGAGGTGATGAATTTAATTCATTGATGATTCGATGGGGAATTTAATAGTCAGCTGACAAGTAATTTGTTTTAAACTTGCGAACATTCCTAGAGCATTCTCGCAAATTGTTTTTGAATAGAAGAAAAACGAGAGCATATTAGATGCAACATTACCACCAAGTTACTTAAAAACTGTAATTACGTCACCTGTGGTTCTTCTATACGACAATGGATACAGGCTTAGTTTTGCCTGCCGATTATCATAACGGAGCTCAGCTATTTCCAGAATCAGCTTACCTGTTGTCCTTTAAACCTTTGTCAACTGTTCATCCTCTCTTTTATGCAGATGCTAGCCGCCTGCATACAGCACTCAAGTTTAGGACGAAGTCTACTAAAGTTTCTTCAAAGTGATTCTGTTCTCAGAATTTTCTCCCCTAGTGTACATTCTGCACCTGCTACTGATGCAATACCTGTGGATATGGGTTCGGTCTTAGAGCAGGAAGGTAGACCAGCTATCTATGTTTTACACAAACTTACTGTTACTGAACAAGGCTATTTACAAAATCAGCGAGAAGCATCAGCTGTCTTCATAAATATTTATTTTGAAACAAATTCGCTATTTTTACATATCATGGAGCTTTAAGGTTCAGTTACCATCCTGACAAATCCTTAGCACGTTCTTTAGTTGCTATGTTTCAACAAAGGAGTCTTTCTTAATGTGCCTATGCCTATACGATTCATCACAGAGGTGCCAAATAAATTCAATACGTTGACTACATTTCTCGACAATCATCACAAGATAGATATGTTATTACTTCAGACTGTTTGTTAGTGCAATCTGTACAGATGAGACATCAATATCTCATGATAGAAATTCGTCGATATTTTGGATGTATAATCAGTGCCATAAGAAAATGTTAGATTGTCAATCTGACAATTAGAGTTCATTTTTAATTTTCAAGGCGATATGAGATCCCCACTCACTTTGATCGTATTCTGCGTAAAAATTTTGTTGTCGCTCCTTCCTCATTACGTGAATCTGTTCCTGAAGATCTTCATCGTGAACATTTAGGTGTTGAGAGGATGAAGTCCTTGGCAAGGCTACATGTTTGTGGCCGAAAATAAGTGAAGATATATTTCGAACGGCAAACGATTGGGTGAAATGTCATAAGTTGAAAAGCCTATCTTCCAAGCGTACTCCATGGTCAGCAACGTCTGGGCACTGGCAGAGTATTCATGCAGACTATTGTGGTTCATTTTTTTGCCGACAGTGTGCACTTGTTGTCATTGATTTTTTTCGAAGTAGCCTGAATTTCTCACAACTTCACCAAATTCTAAATTCACATCGCGAGCATTAAGATTTTTTTAGTCAGGAGGGTATTTCTATGGTACTGGTGACTGATAATGACTCTCACGTCGCTGTAAATACAGTCACTACCTCGTTGGATGGTATGGGGTTCACTGCTCCCAGGCACCCTTGTTCTAATGATCAGGCGGAAAATGTTGTCAGGACATTGAAAGTTACTGTTTATTCTACCGCTGTTTCAACATTTAATGACCTGGAGAAGGGGTAGATACATTTCTACTCAATATAGAAACGCTAAACATTCTGTAAAGAAAGAGACCCCATCAAAGCTATTGAAAGGAAGGATTCTTCTTTCGAATATGAGGTGTTTGAATTTTGTAGATGATACGTATTCTCGTGGAAACAATCTTCGACATGTTATGGGGATTGTGGCGAAAAATCTTTGACAAACCATCGGTTCAAACTCTAGAT